AAGAACTCACACAAAGAGAAGACTCTTCTCAAAACAAACACAATTCTATTAACCAATCAACACCCCACTTGGCCAAAGGCCTACAACTCGTTAAATAGTAAAAACAATCCTTGGAAAGCAAGGAAACCTAAACCTAAAGCAATTCTAATGAAAATAGAAACCCTAATTCGGAATTAAAATAACCCTAAAATAGAATACCCTAAAACACCTAAAAACATAAAATAAACATAATCCTAAAAATCCCTAATAATTCTAAAAACATATAGCAAGACTTGTGACACAAATTAAGGGTTCTAAACCCTAGAATGCATCAAATTGACATCATGGTATTTATAATTTCATTTGATTATTCACTTTAGAATTTTCATCATTGTTCAATCTAAATAAAATTCATGAAATGATAGGTTTATTACAATAAGGTTGGCTGGCTTCGCTTATTTTTCACAAGAGCTAAAAGTGGGATGTTTCTCTACTTTGAGTTGCACCAGAGAAATGTCAAAGAAAGCTTTACTTAATGGAGATCTGGAAAGAGACATTTAAAACAAGCAACTCAATAGTGTTGCAAACTTGCAACATACAATATCAAAAACATTTTATCAAAATAGTTCCACAGGTTCTATCCATTGATGCGGAAAGAAAATCTTATAGTTTCCCTCGGCTAATTATCATTCCTTTGTATAGATATACAGGGTCGTTATTTGGTGCATGGTCCATCTTTCAATAAAGTGTCTCTTTCTTCTTCATCTGTAAACTCTATGAAACTAGGGTTCTCTCTTTCTTTAATATTTAATAAGTGATCGTTCCTTTTGGTCGGGATTAGTATACATAGTCTTTCTTGTTCGCTAATTTCTTGGTCGGGAGTCTAATGGCAACTGATTTTGCGTGTCAAGCGTTCATTCCTTGCTTGTTCCCTACTTTTCGTAACAATACATAAGTAGGCCCCTTTTCTCAATCTTTTGTCTGGTACTGGACTATCTCAGCCAGGGGCATGATTTGAACCTGAAGTCTTAAGGTCATGAACCTGATGAGTCAACCAATTCCTCTACCCCACTTGTCATTTGTGTTTGTGTGTGTGTATTGTTAAAAAAAAAATTCAGTAAGGAAATATCAAGAACAATAGTTGAGAGCATATAGAAAAGTAGAATACATGCAGTAAATTGATTATTTAAGAAATATTCTTCCCTAAGCTGCATTTCAGTTTCCCTAATATCAGGTCTTGGTCATGCATTATTGAGTCTCGAGTCTAGAGCAGGTCAACCCGATAGGCCTGTTTCCTTATCAGATCAGATTCAGGTTTTACTCATAGACCTGTCAGATCAACCGAAACCCGTTAAGATATAACCTTAATTTACTTATTTATATTTTTCTGCATATCTTTCTTTTCTCTGCATTGGTGCAACCTAATTTACTTTCAATTGAACTTCCAGCTCCTACTACTTCTTCTTCTTCATACTATTCTTTTTATAAACTCTAAATATCTGATAATCTGATTGATACTGCCCTCTCTCATTGATATGCAATGGCAAATCACTGAATCTATTGCTTTCATACTGTTCTTCTACATACTTATCTTCTTTTCATTATATGTGAAGGGTTACATCAAATCTTGACGAACACCAATTTTTCCATTAACTTTCAAATAAAACTTGATAAGCTCCTTAAGAGCCAATATGTGTCAACCAAATGTCTCATCCTCAATTGAATTCTAATTCATTACTAACAGAAATAGTTCATAGTATGTGTATACGTCCCACCCATTTGTCATTAAAAACAAAACAAATCTAAACATTTACGTACTTATAATTGGATAAACCAATAAAAATAGTACATGAAGCAATAGATAAAGTAAAACAACACTAATGAAAAGAGAAGTTTCGAAACTTAAAAGTGATCCTCAAAAATGCTCTTACCTTTTATTGATATAAGCCATTAACTTGTTTGTGATGTAGCAAATTGTGTAAGAAGAATAACGACTTTGAACTCCCAAAACATGTCCAATGAAAGAATCATTGCTTAAAAGATTACAAAATTCTTCAGCTTCATAGACAAGTAGCACATACGGAATTTCAATTCCCGAGGATGACAACTGTGACCAAGGGTGAATTCTCATTAGATCTATAGTCTTAGAAAATCAATAACAAGTTTAAGAACTTGATTTGGGAAAAGGAAAGTAAAAGATCTTGATATGGTCTTAATTTAGCACCAATAGACCACCATTATCTTTTCATACAAGGTTATTGTAATGATTTCTGAAAAATGATGTAATTGTAATATACAGTCAAAATAAATACAATTGTGATGATGATAACACCTCTAATATCTTGTAGCCTTAACGGACATAGTTTCTTTATAACCTGACAGGTTTAAATTTTGGGCTTCTTAGATCATCTCATAATCTTAAGGATGTGGGTGAACCTAAAACTCCCTTGATCTCGAGAGACATACAAGAAAATTGTTAGTATATACCTACTATCCAGAGCACGGACCATATCACTACTAGACAGGCTGGATTATTTACCAATGGTTCTTGAGTCACACAATCAGAAAACTAAGTGATTTCGACAATTGGTTTGTAAAATTGATTATCTGTAAAAACTTTCAGGCTACACTATCTCTAAAAATCTTTCTTTTTTAAGCAGCAATAGTATCTGTAATTACTTTCAGGCTACATTATCCCCTGCTTCTTCCTCATCCTCAGTTCCCATGGAAGTATTATTGGGGAACAAAAATTCCTCCCAGGGTCGCTTTCTTTAAATTGTGTGTCATCCTTAGCAGAATCCTCACTGTTGATAACCTCCGTAAACGTAGGAAGCTCATAGTTAACTTTTGTACTTTGTGCATTCAGGATGGGGATTCGGTAGTCATGTGTTGATTCATTGCCAATTTTCTATCTCAATTTGGGGCTATTTTCTTAGGTCATTGGCCATAGTGGTGGTCCCTGAGTCGGCTAGTGATCTCTTAATATCGTGTAAACTAGGTGCACCCTCCCGGGCTAGGCTTTGTTTGTAGTTGTTTTCTTTTTGGAGCATGTGTCGCTTTGACCAGGGATAGCTCATCCCTCGGTCCTTTTGTACTTTGTATATGTTTCTTTATCTTTCACACATAAAATGATCCTTTACCTCTCAAAATAAAGAAAGAGAGTATGCTTGCATTAATAAAGTAGAACATGTCAATCCAACACTTCTCTAATTAACTCTTCAATTATCTACCTCTGCGAATTGTTCTGGAACAGACATTGTCCACAATATTGATCTTTCAATTGGGTTTGATGTTATTCGAAAACTAAGACCTTTATCAGCAAACATTGAAAGAAGGTGCCCTAATTATTAAAAAGAATAGTTGGTTAGCACATGAACATTATAAGTTTATGAGTTTATCATGAAAAAAAAACACAATCGATAATGATAGTTCAAGCAAATGAAGAAAGGTTAAAAAGGTAAACAACAAAGAGAAATTCGCAGTTGTGTGTGTGTGTACCTCCAATAGACCCCAGTTCAACAACTTTAGCATCGATTTCAGCTACTATGGATTTCAGAGCAAACTTCCCTTTCTCCCACATTTGTTGTTCTTTCTGCAATTTCTTTGCCTCTGCTGCTTCAGCCTTCAGAGCTTCCTTTTGCAGCTTCTCTTGCTGTATAATAAAATGTGCAATCATTTATAGTAAGCCTAATATAACAAATGCAACAACAATTTTTATTTGATATACTGACCTCTCTCTTTAGTTTCTTTTCTTCAGCTAAGTGAGCTTTTTCTTCTTTTGTTTTTCTCTTTTTGGATTTTGTTCCATCCCTGTGGTTGCTTTTTTCTTCATCAACAAGTTTATACTTCTGCTCTATGGAATTGCCCACTCGCTCTGTTGCTACATTTTGTTCTTCATTATTAGTTTGTACCTAAATAGAAAATAATCTAGCCATTAACATCTATTATTGTAGTTAGACCCCGTACATGTATTATAACTATATGTTTGCTGTGTACACAATGTAATAACCATGTATGTACCAGTATGTGGAGCATTGAGTTACATAGTTACATGATGTAGGCATCGCCTATCAATTTAGAATAACAAATCAAACCAAGCGCGAATAAAAAACAGGCTTTATAAATCATTTGAGATACTTCTTCATTATTGTTGTCAACTATACAATACGAAGACACTACCCTCTCGACCCATTACAATCCTCTGAAGAAGGTTTCCCACGTCCAACCACAAGTGCTCAAAACATAACTCTGTGGCCTCCTCACAAGATTCAGACAAACTACATATCCCCCAGGAGGAACGGACCCTCCCTGCCAGCTCACAAGAAAGATCCATCAACCCACCAGGTAACCTAAGTAAGAATTGATATACCACGTTGAAATAGTAAAGGACAAAATATTCCTAGAATAAGGATACCATGTTGAACAACTCGCCATCTCTCAAAAATGAAGGGGATAAGTTGCTTCTCTATGATTTTTCTCCTTCTAAGGTTGTCAACATAAAATGATGTGTTCTAGTTCTAACATAAGGCCCAGCAGACATATTTAAAACCAATCTCAAGCAACTCTCTTATGTCTTGTGGCTCTTTGCTTGTTTGTTGAAATCTTGGCTATTGTAGATAATGGGCAATA